GTCTTTCTTTTGCCGTGCGCATGCAGCGCAATAAGGTTTCCAAACGGGAAAAACTCGACTCAAGTCAAAGTGCAAACTTCGACGAGTCTCTATAGTCTGAAAGAGAAAGTTTAATCTGAAGAAAATCAAAGTTTTTATAAAACCTTTGTCTTTCTCTTCAAATACACTCACTCCTGCTGCTTGACATTCGCGAACTACCCAACATAGCTTAAACTTATCATTTGTGCTCTTTCAACAACTACATCTCATCTGTGCATACTCTCCTTAATTTTTATTTTTATTTATTTACCTACTTTAATCATTTTTCTTGTTTTTAAGTTGGTCTTTTCTTTCTCTTCCCTGTCTACTTCTTTCTGTTGCTACTCCAACATCGGCCCATTTGTATATGTCATTCACGATATTTGTTCCCAGTGTACAACATGGATCATAAAGATTTCTTACAGTGATCGCGTTCGGATCGCGAAGTCGTACCGCGATCGCTACTGTTGCGGCGAGTTCGCGACCAAGTCTTATTTTACAAAAAAATTCGTAATTCGCGATAGCATTTTTTACTGATATGATATTCGACAGAAAACGCGAATAAATAGTAACTATAGCAAAATACTTGAGAATCATTGATTTTTGTATGAGCGCCAAAAAATAGCGATCACTAAAAACCGCCCATGTCGACTGTCGCGATAAAAAGTCGCGACACGATCGCTTATACACTCTCACTCTTTCGCCTTTCAAACTTCGTAGTGCAGTAGATTTTCCTAATAGATTTTGTTTGTTTTTCTCTTTCTCTTCATTTGTGTCGGGAGTGATTGTGAACAAAATTTTTTACTAATCTGTTATGTTGTCACTACCTTCCTTAAACTTGTTGATTAGTTAATTATGTATGTTACTGAACTCATATCTAGATGTCTCTATGCTGCAGTGAGCTTTAATTGGTTAAAGTTTTGGATTTGGTTAATTCTGGATCAGTGTTACGTCTAGTTGTCATATAAACAGGAATTGAATGAGATTGGGCCATAGGACCGCAATAAGTCCTTGGAATTCTATTCACCGTACACAGGAATAATAATCTTAAAAAATTAGCAATTGTACCAACACAATTGAAAACATTTGAAATTTATATTTAGGTACTAAAAATATCAATCAGAATTTAGGAGCGAAGTTACGATTGAGGTGTTTTCCTTTGCTTTTTTACTGCTGATACATCCTGGCCTTATCAGCCTCTCTTGGTTTTAACCGTTATGATTACTTTTCAGACGGTAATATTTGCAGAATAAAAAAATATCAGTAAGACGTATAGGAGTAGTATTGCACTACTCATACAGTATAGGAGTAGTATTGCACTATTCATACAGTATAGGAGTAGTATGACTCCTATCCTGATCGAAAAGACTCGGAAGCCATAAATGTGTAGTGAAGGATTGAGATTGTTATGTCTGAGTATTGTAGAATCGCTTCATTTTTTAACGGTGTGTGGATAAGTTTTGCAACCAATGTCGGACACTTTTTCTATCTGTTCCCAATATTCTGAAGACATAAACTGTTTTTGTTTGAAAGAGCAAAATTTGAACTACATAACGTGACTCTAACAAATTTTTCTTTCATGAAACTTCGATGAGAAAGAATTCAAACACTAAACATCACTAAAAGGGTTCTAGTAACATGTAAAATTTTGGTTTTCTATCTTTTCCAAAAAGGTTTCTTTTTCGTCTAAGAATAATTTCAAAGAATAAATAATTATGACATTCATGAGTGTTTGAAACGAAGTGTTTGAAAATTTGGGCGAACAGTGGTATAGAAGTAATAGATGATAATGACAGGACCCCCTGAGATGCAATAATGCAATAAACTAACAAGTCATATAAAATTTGTTTGATTCACGTTGTGTATTTCAGACTTTGCTCTTTCAAAAAAAAGGCCGGTCTCCAGAATATTGAGAACATGGAGAAATAGCGCTCGACATTTGTTGGAAAACTTGCACACACTATTAGCCCTTATTGAATAAACCCTGCATTAAACATTAAAGAATGCAAAAGATTTCTTAAAATGATGGTTTTCGTAGTCTCTGTTATTAGTGAAACTTAGCGTTTGAAGATTTTAACAACTGAGAACTGTATTGTTGCTAAAACTTTTCTCTTTTCAGATTATATTAAAACTGTTTGGCATGGATGACGATTTCAATAAATTGGCAACGATGTCAGAGTCGGAATTTCTCGATTTTGTTGAAAAATTCTACGAAAAAGTAATAATTGTATCGTTCGAATAGAGTTTCGTCACCTAATATGCTGAATTTTTTTTGTGGATTTAGAATTGCAATAGTTTTACATTTCCTGGATTAGATTTAGATAAGAAACAAAAATTAGTTACAGAAATATTTACACGTATACGTCCAGGAAGCTTCAATTCAAATTCAATCAATATTTGTTTAAAAACATTAAAATTACTAACGCGTGAACGTGAAGGACTAGATGTAAACATAATTTTATTATAGATAGCAGACACACGCTATTTGTTTGTTTGTTTGCTTTTTAGGCAATTACTGGATCATCTGTATTAGAACCATTGCAAAAGCTTGCTGGTTTAGAGTGTAGTAAAGTGGATGTTGGCCCTATTGGTCTAGAAAGTAAGACGTATATTTCAGAAATATTTTTGCATATGTTTGAACGAATTGTATTTGTTTTTCAGATGTAATTGAAGCAGAAAAATGTATGTCAAATTTAATTTATATGAGTCCATGTGTTCAAAAATTTTACAGTGTAAGTGGTGTAGCCGATGCGATCACTCAGCGAATTAAAGAAACAATTAAATTACACAGTGACATTCAATTTTATGATATGAGGATATTATTTTTATTGACTGCGTTAAATCCTGATATTAGGTAACGTTGTCAATTGATTAAAATGTAATATTACACGTACTTGATAATTAATCGTTATTTTATAGGCAACGTGTGCGTGAAAAATTTCATGGATTATCCTATTTGTTTGAAATAATTAATCAGATTATGCGCAATAGAGAAACAATTGCATCGGCTGATGCAAGTAAGTTGACGTTAGGTGAAAAGACACATGAGTTAGTGTAGAAAATAATCTATTTTTTTCTCGTTTGATTTTTGACCTATTTAACAGTGTCCATTTACTCTCCAACTCTGCGTATGATGAGGTCGATGATAAAGTCTTTTATCTTGTATCCATTGAGAAAATTAAAGAAATTTACTGTCCAAAAAGTCCTTTTTCTGCTGATTAAAACAAATATTTTCGCGAAAATTTCTTTCGTTCTCTTAATTTCTCTATATTCTATAACGAACCGAAGACAACGAAATTCGAAAAAAAAGATGCGCTGCAAGCAGGATTCGAACCTGCGCGGGAAGATCCCATTGGATTTCTAGTCCAACGCCTTAACCACTCGGCCATCGCAGCATACCTGTACTTTGTGATTTGAAATCCACTCTCGAATCGATTTAAAAATGCAAATTGATACAACTGGGGGTCGTATCACGAAAAAACTTAAGTCTGTGTTTAAGACCGACTTAAGTCCGAGGCGTAAACCGTATCATGAAAAGACTTAAGTTGGCGATTTGTTTACTTTTTAAAAGTCGTTGACAACAGTGACAAACTTGGGACAAAAACCCGCAAAATAACGAAATATTTATTCTCTAATCTTTAGAATGCCGTTTTCGTCGAATCTTATCGTTAAATGCCTGAGTTATTCGAAAAATGCGTCAATAACTTAGGGCTAAGTTTTCGGTCCGACTTAGGACTTAAGTTTTCGATCTTAACTTTAAGGCTACATTTTCCAAGACTTAAGTCACCCTTTGACTTAAGTTTTTTGTAATGCGGTAAAACTTTAGTCCAAAGACTTAAGTTAGCGACAGAGACTTAAGTCTTGACTTGAGTCTAAATTTTGACTTAAGTCAGAAGTTTTTTTGCGATACGACCCCCCTGACTTAAAATCAATAATTTGAGTTTGCTGTTTAAAATAGCACTCTCATTTTCAGAAAAGTATTATTTTAAGATGTAATACTGTGACAAAATTCTTTTTTTTCCTTCGTAGATATTACTCTGTCCAATGCAGACATTGATTATTTGATTGAAATATTAAAAACGCTATTTAATTTGACTGTTGATTTACCTAATATTACACATTCATATGCGTTGCAAGAAGTACGTATACATCGATACGCCTTATCGCTCTCCTCAGATGCGCGTGACACACAGATTTATTTGTATTTGGCTCTCTTGAGACAAATCTAGTCTTATAATGGTCGAAACACATGTGAAAACCAGAAGGATCATATTAATAAATTCTAAATAGTTTTGTATTTATAGGAAGAAGAAGAAGCACATTTGATGCGTTTAGTTAGTATTTTACGTGAATTATTATTATGTATGGGTCCAAATAGTGAAAAACAATTCGAATTACAAAAGTAGTATTTGCTTCTACCATATACGCTTTTTTTTAGTTGATTGCATTTACCTTTTTAGCCACATAATTAATTTGTTAACAAATATGCCTAAAACATGTTTTGAGGAATTATTAACACCTGTCAATAATGACGAAAATGAAGATTCTGATTATGAATATGAAGGTAAAAATATGGAAGCCATTAATATTGTTTTACAATTTCTTGATTATCGCATAACAAAATATGAGGTAATGTGATCGAAGAAAAAAATCAAATGCAATTATTTCAAAATGTTATTATTTTAGGAATCAAATGGTACTCAAGATGCATTATTGCCTGTATTACAACTATTGATTATTATGTGTCAATCAAATAGAAATATACGTAAATTTTGTCGCCGACATATATTACCACCATTGCGTGAAGAAATAATGTATTTACCAACAGAAGGTCAAAAATTAAGAAATAAGTATGTGAAATATCAGAAAACAACAATACAACCTTTTATCTTAAATATATTTCTTATCATTAGATTAACACGAATGATGACTAATCCAAATTCTGAATTAAAAACATTTTCGGCTAAATTATTATTTGTTTTATGTAAAGAAAATGGTATGTAGAGCAATAAGATAACTCTATTATTAATCTATCATAACTTTTTTTTCTTTTTTTACAGTCGATCGTTTAATCAAATATACTGGTTATGGGAATGCAGCTGGTTGGTTGTATGATTTTGGTTTAGTAGGACCTTCGCATAATACAAATAAAGATCTATATTCAAGTGAATCAGAAGATTCAGATACGGAGATTTATAAACGACTCAGAGATCAGTAAGTATTTTACTATTCTACTCACTTCATTCAATTAGAAAGTTCTATGCAAGAGTAAACATCAAGATGTAATTGACCAAAGGTTTATTACTAATATCAGTTATTATAAACAATATTGGCCATTGGTAGTTTACATCATCTTTCTTTTCATTCAGAATTAATCCAGTCACTGGTAAGCATGATTCAGTCAAACGAGACGACCCAATGGCAGGTTGGTCGGACGCAAGTAAAGAGGCTGAAGCCCAGCGCTTGGCTGAGATTATGCAACGTGTAATGGAGTAAGTTGAATAAATTTTAGTGTTAAAACTCTTTTCAAAATATTTTTCATTTTTTAGTTTAGGCGTAATACAACCAGCAACAATTGGTCCAGATGGTAAACCAGTGGTTATTGATAATATGCAACAATTTCGTGAACTAGTTGAATCAAGCAAAAAGACAGAATTACCACCGTCTGAATCGAGTGATGATGAACTGAGTGAAAATGAAAAAGCGTCAACAACAACAAAATAGTATAGAAAAATTATTTAAGCTCAATATGCATATTGTTTTTTTCACCATGAAAACTAATGTTGTTGTATGTATTGCTTTTTTGAACTTGAATCTTGTAAAAAATATTTTTTATTTTATTTTATTGTTTGTCACTCATAATTAGTTTTACTGTGTATTTTCTAGTCGTTTTTATGTTTTATGTGAATCAAAATCGTACATCTCATTATTATTTTTCTATTTCATAAAAAAATGACACAAATATCATTTTTATCTGACTCTCATTTAATATCAAATTTGTATACATTCTCTTTTGTCTCTAAAATTGAATGATTTTTCTGTTGTAATATAAATAATCACGTATGCTTTTGTTTGCTTGCGTAATTTTTTCTTATTTTAAATAAACTTGCTATTCGAGATAGTCATAAAATTGTAAGAAAAACATGAAGAAGATTATGCAGACAGTTGTATTTAAAAATATTTTCTATTCCATTAGAAATAATGAAAACATTCTTTTATTTAATATGTTTGGATTATACTCATGTGGATTATTCTTCATTAATATTGATTTTAATTGTTGCTTATTTTTTTGGAAACAATTTTTTATGCTTTTAACTGGACATTTTTTCTGTCGATTGATCAATTTTCGAATGATGTTGTTTCTGTACTATATTTATCCTTTTCTGTTTTTTTTTTACAAAGGACCTTGTATTTGAAAATCTTCTCATCTATAAACCCACTTCAAACCACAGTATTTAATATTCACAAGTTTTCAAACGTTTTTTTTAAATAAATTAAAATAATTCTAGATAAAATACTCTTTTATCAATGTTTGGATTGAATGGTGAGAATATAACAGAGCAGAAGAAATTTCTAGAAGATCCTATAGAATTTCTTGTCTTGATTATTCTGCGATCATGGATTTCCTTTGATGAAATGACAAAACATCTGTTCTACTATCCGAGGTGGTGAAAGATGAATTTATTACCTATTTTTCATTTCACTTGTTTCCATAACATTTTTTCCTTTTGAAATTGTTGAATCTACGTTAAATTTAGATCAGCCAAAAGTTTCTGTTAGATCTTGATTTGTTCACAAATAAATATTCATTTTTCGTTCATCAAGATATTGTCCATTGATTGGAGTCGAAATTGTTGTAGTTCGATCACTTATATTTCATTTTATTTATTCTAAATATAATTAAGCTTTCGAACATTGTATTGTTAAATTTCGATGATGAACAGGAGATGTTCAAAAGCTCAATTATATTTAGAATAAATAAAATGAAATATAAGTGATCGAACTACAACAATTTCAACTTTAGTAATTTCAATATAATATAGTTCTCCCATGTAATATAGTCCATTGATATTCAACAATTTCATTCGATATGTATGACAATTATTATTCAATCTACTTTTATACATTTTAAAACTAAACTCAAGTCAACAACAATTTTTAAGTGTATTTATTATTTATATTAAAGGATAACAAATAAACAATTAAAATTAGTATTTTACAGTTAATAAACAAATTTCTATAGACAAAATACTTATAGTAATAGGGAAACTCGAGAAATTGGATGTATCGGCTGGCCCAGATAAAATCGGACACTTTCATTCGTTGTTCTGAGGCACTGCTCAGTAGTCCTAAGAGTGTGTTCTAAGCTCAATCGATAGAAAATTGAATTCTCTACAAAAGCTGCTATTTGAATCTCTGATAACATTTTTCTCGTTTGAGCACTATTCAAAATATTGAAGAGTGCTCAGTTGCCTAATTGCGACACACTGAAAAATAGGAAAATTTATAAAATAAATTCAAATAGAAAAATTAAATAGAAAAATAGAAGAATTTCTCTTAATCGAAAAACAGATTCCATAAGAATTTCGAAAAAAAAATCAGAAGTTTCACCAGAAAATTCTGCATCTTCTCACATATTTTTCGAAATTTTACAGTTAAGTTTTCCAGGAAAATTTCTCTGTACAAAAAACTGACAAATGCAAAAAACCTAACTTTTGTATCAATTTTTTCACAGACTTTAGTTTTTTTACTATAAAAGCAGTAAAACACTCTGAGTCCAGGGTTTTAGTCTTATTATCTTACATAGAATTAAATTCTGCATCGTTTGATATATAAATAA